CCCCTACCTCTGCGCCTGCGCGTACCGCTGCACCCTATGCTCCGCGCGCGCGAAGCGCCGGGCACGCGGAAAGGTCACCCCTTCCAACTTTGCTGCCATAGCCGATAGAGCTGCCCAGGAGTCCCCTCCACTGTCGTGCACTAGCCTGTTACCATGGCATCCTCTCTGAAGCTGTTTGCACGCCCCCATCCCGCTTTGGGCTCTGCAGCAGTGACATCACTGCCCAGCTCTGCCACCACCTTGATTCTGCTCAGTGGACAGCAGAGGTTGAAGTCCACGAGACTCTCCTGGGGGCGGCGCTATAAAAACCCGGATGCCTGTCTGCACCCAGACTCACCGACCCAGACCACTCAGAGTGTATGACCCTGCCCTTGGGTAGGGAGGGTTCCCTAGGTAGTGCCCTTTGGGCCAGGAGGGAAAATCACCAAATAAGCACCCTGCGGCGTGTTGGGCGCAGGCTTTGGTGCAGTGGACTGAGGAGGAGACCGGTACACCTTCTGTCTCTAACAAGATTCTGGTATAAATGCAAGGATGGGGAGCAGAGCCAGGAGAGGGGACTGTCTTGTTTTAGCCTCCCAAAGGAAAGGGTGTCTCAGGGACCAGCTCAGTGGGAGAGTGCTTGGCAGTATGAACAAAGTCCTGACTCTTCCCCTTTGGTAGTTCTGCGACACTGGGCAAAGGCAATTATGCTCTGCGCATCGTTTCTTTTTCCGTAAAGTGGGGTTGCTAACTGTCATGGCCACCTCACAGGACCAGTGTGAGGACGGCACACGAGGATGCAATGCGACCTCCGATCAGTGGCCGACGCCTCCTTGGAAGGCAGTGCTTGCTATCCATCAGGAACATGGCCAGCCGGAGACTGGAAATTTTAAGTAACTCCCATGTTTGTCTATCTTGGAGCTCTTCTCAAATCTGCACACCTGCTTTAACCACTCCTATGACTACCTAACCAAGAGCTTCCCAGGTACGCTGCTGATGGAGTCTTAGCTCTCCTGAGACCACCTAGAGAAGACATTAGAAACCGGAGGCTCGTTTCTAAAGATCATCACCTTCCTCAGGCTGTGGGGGTGAGACTCCCTGAACACCTCCCGCTGTGCAGGCTCCGGTGGATGGCTCCGTATGCCAGTTTTTGTTTGTTTGTCTGTTTGTTTTTAAAGTTTGCTAATAGACTCACTCCACAGGCATCACTCAAGAGACCCAAAGCTGACGTGTAGGGCTCCTGTCCTAACCCCCCAGCCAAGCTTCCTGAGTACATTTGGATCCTGCAGCCCTATAGTGGGGCTTGCTCGGTATGCCCTCCCACAACCCTGTCCGAACAGAAGGCTTTTTTGATGGTAAGGACAGTGTCCTTCTTGAATTCTCGTCACCAAGCAAAAATGCCGGACAGGCTGTCTGATGCTCACGTAGTATTCATTATCGGTGTGAGGACAACAAGAGACTGCAGACTGGGTCCGCGCCTCCCTTCTCCGGGCCTCAGCCTTCTCCAGCTCTTAGGCTGCCCCTGGACCAGCAGTTATTCTCCCGCTGCTCAGGGTCCACTCTATTTTTCCATCTGAGCTGTGCCAACTAGTTTTACTTCAACTTGCCACAAGCTAGAGTAATCTGAAAGGAGGGAACCTTCATTGAAAAAAAGGCCTTCATAAGATGCAGCCGTAAGGCATTTTCTCAGTGATTGATGGGGGAGGGCCCAGCCCATCGTGAATGGTGCCTGGGTTCTGAGAAATCCATGATGAAGAAGCCAGTAAGCAGGACCCCTCCATGGTATCTGCATCAGTTCCTGCCTCCCGGTTCCTGCCTTATTTGAGTTTCTGTCCTGAACTCTTTCAACAATGAACAGTGATTTGGAAGGTCAATCAGGTAAACCCTTTCCTCCCTGTGGTGGTCTGAATGAAAAGGGCCCATAGCGAGCGGCCCTATTAGGAAGTGTGGCCTTGTTGGAGGAAGTGTGCCACTGGGCTTTGAGGTTTCAAAAGATCAAGCCAGGCCTAGTGGCTCGCTGTCTCTTCCTGAGGTGGATTCAGCTGGAGAACTCTTGGCTACCTCTCCAGCACCTGTCTCCCTGCATGTCACCATGTTTCCTGCCATAATGATAATGATCTAAACCTCCAAACTGTCAGCCAGCTCCAATGAAATGTTTTCCTTTATAAGAGTTGCCGTAGTCATGGTGTCTCTTCACAACAATAGACACCCTAGCTAAGACAAAAGTCTCTTTTGGTCGTGGTGTTTCATTGCAGCAGTAAAAACCTTGACCAGGACACCAGGTTCCATTCCTACATTTCACCTTGAATGTGTTATGTAAGACGGTTGTAAATGCCCTGTTAGTTAGGGCCTGAATGTCCTTAGGGTCCCTCCTGGGTTTTCTGAGGGGGCATTGGCTTGGTTTCGTTAGGGGACATGAGTTGGTTATTTTTGGCAGACGAGGTTAGTTTCGCCTTCCACCCTTGGCCATCACTGCGACATCCTGGCACATGGCCTCTGAGTACTCTACGGGGTAGACAGCCCCTTCCCTTTGCCCACAGTCTGTCTTGGCAGACAGTGTGTGCAGACTGCTTGAGTCAAGGGAGGGTGTTGCCTCTGCACTGGACTCAATGGTCAGAGAACCACTGACTGTCATTGCCCGAAGGAACAGATGTGTGATGCCAGTCCGTGCCCACAAACACCTTCTCAGCTTGTAGAGCTGAGAATGAGGGTGATGTGATCTCTAGGAGAATTCTTCCCTCCCAGCAAAGCGGCCACGGTGGGCTTTTCTAACACTTGGCCATCTGCCACTGCCAAGACACCATGCAGGGTAGATTGCCTGCAGAGATGTTTACATACAGGTCACTGAGCCATCTGAAGGAATCTGTTCCACCTCCCTTGAATTTCAGCTGGCCCTTTGACTGGACGAGTCCTCAAAGAATGAAACAGAAAGATGTGGTTTCTGCTTAGACCTCGGCAGAGCCGGTGGGCAGCGTCAATCCCCTGAGTTGTGTGAGCTCCGAGAAAGGCTCTGGCTAGACAGTCTACCACCCATCTCACCTGCAGTGATGCTGACACTCTGCCCGGAGCCCTGGCGCACAGAGCACAAAGCAACAATGGCTTTGAGTTTAAGCCATCACATTCTCGGGTAGTTTCTATGCGGAGCCTCCCTGCACTATGGCCATTCTTCCCTCCATCCCGGAACTCGGAACAACACCTCTGTATATTGCTCGAGTCCCTTTCCACCAGTGAGCCACTAAACATTTCACCCCCAAGCAATTCAGAATCAGGACAAATGCCTGAAATCCTGGAGACGCCAACCGTGCATCCACGTACTCGGGGAAGATAGAAGGACGCATCACCAAGAGCTCTGACTTTGGGTTCTGTCTCTTCCTGGCCATTTGATCTTGGATAAGTTCCTCATCTGTGGAAATGGGCTGATCACAGCACCTGCTTTCAGACAGAATATGAAGTTTAAGGAAATAAGGGTTAGGGCTAAAATAATGCCTGGGTGTTGTTTAGTTGGGCACCGAAGGGATCTGGCAAACTGCAGTGATTCACTTCATGAGTTCATGTGTGAGTGTGCATGTCAGGGAAGTGCATCTATTGGTCTTAAGGGGGAATAAAAACTACCCAAAGCATAATAATCTCTGCCTGTTTCAGACGGAAAGAAAATGAAATCCACACTCCAGGGTCCTTGAGCGCTGGTGAATATCAGCCCTCTCGGCTCCCATCTGATCCCTCTGTGCTAGCAGGGGAAGGTGCAAGGAGCACGGAAGAGGCAGAGGAAAGATGCAGGGGCTGTCTCCCTGGGTTCCAAGACGCTGTTCTCCTTGAATTCAGGATCTGAGGGAAGTCAGGTTAAAAACGGTTAAAATTTCATATGTGGCTTTGTTAAAATCAAGCACAAGAAAGAGCGTCTTGGTTAGCACTTTTTTTTTTTTTTGAAAGAAAAAACAGCAGAAGAAGAGAAATCAAAAGCTAGCCTTCTACCATCTGCTCCAGATGGGAGCTCGTTAGCATCTTCCCGAAGGCTGATTGTAGCCGCCAGCACCACCACCACCACGGTAATGAAGGAGCTGCCACGCCCAGTGCCAACCTGAGCCTGCTCTGCAGCCTGGCTTGATGGGCTCGCTGCTGATTCCCTCCTTCGGACTCCAGAATCTCCCAGGCTAACCAGACAGAAGCGCCCGCGTGGCACTGAGAGAGTTACCCTTTTCTAATGTGTCTGCTCCAGGCCCTGAGAACAATGGAGACACTGGCCCAGTGAGCCAAGAATAACACTTCAAACCCACATTTGCTGCTGGGTCTGGGCCTCCTGGGCCTGTTCTCTCTACCCTAATCAAAACCTCCGTGCTGTGGAGCTTTGAATAGCTGGGCTGTCAGATCTGAGGTGTAGGGAGAGCATAGCCTCCCTCCTTTCCTTCTTGCTTTCTAAAGGCAAGTAGGTCAATGCAAGCGTGTCCTCACGCGGCTCCAGCCCTGTGCCTGGCTGAAGGGCTCTGTGCTTCCAGGTCAAACTGTCCCAGGGCTATGGGAAGGACCCAGGAGATGAGTCCTGAGGGAGGTTAGGAAATTCTGGCTTGTTTTCACTGTCCTTTTCCTGGAGGAGCCTGTGAGAGTAAACCTAAGTGACTGAGGTAGGCATTTGTATGTGTCTATATGTGTACATGTGTGTGCCTGTGTGTATGTGTACGTGTGCATGCGTGCATGCTTGCATGTGTGTACATGTGCATGCATGTGTGTGTACGTGTGCGTGCATATATGTGTGCATGTATGTGTGTTCATGTGTGCATGCTTGGGTGTGCATGTGTATACATGCATGTGTGCGTGAATGTGTGTATGCATCTGTATGTGTGCGCATGAGTGCATGTGTCTGTGTGTGTAGAGGCCATAGGTCAAACTTGGATGTAATTTGTTAGAGGATGTTTACCGTTTTGTAAGCAAGGTCTCTCACTGGGACCTGAGGCCCACCAATCTGGCTAGATTGGCCAGCAAGTCCCAGGAATCCTCCTGCCTCCACCTTCCCGGGGCTGAAGCTATACGTGCACACCAGCGTTCGCTCCCAGCTTTCCACAGTGACGTTGGGAATCAAACTCACATCTCTGTGTTTGTGTAGCAAGCACTTTACACCCTGAAACTTTCAATTTTCTAGATTCATCATTCACAAAACAGTTAACCCTTAATTCTTCCCTGAAGAGTCTCTGGTAAGACTGTGAAATGAACGCTGGTAAACCTAAGATTGACTGGCTACACTTTTATGGCTGCGAGGGACCCAACACCAGCAAGCTTAAGGAACCAGTAGGCACCATCCTGACCCATTACCAAAGAGAGTTCCCAGATGGGCCAACCAAGACAGCAAGGGACCAAGGGCTCACGTGGAGGCACTGGCTCTCTGTCTCTCAGCTCACACACCATATAGGGCTCATAGGAAGAATCTGTCTCTACGGCCGAAGTAGAAAGACGTCATCACAGTTCACTTGCATAAGGACGAGGCTGGATTTATCCAGGACCAAAGGTTGCCCTGGTAACAAGCATCAAAGAGCTTCTCTCTCAGGCAGGCCTGTCCTCCACCGCGCCCGGCCCGCACAGTGGCAATGGAGCCAGCTTCCTGGGCTGTGCAGACATGGAGCTTCTTGGCTTTTCCAACACGTGAGACTTGGAGCCTCTTACCCTGTGACTCCCTTATATAACACCACGAACCACTGTCCCTGTGAGGAGCCACAGTTCAAAACATTTCTATTAAGTTCATTTTATACTCATGCCCTAAGTGGTGTGTGTAGTTATCATGACTCTCCCTTCACAGACAGGGAAATGAGCTGCCCAGAGGCTAATTTGCTTGAGATTACAGGACATCTAAGTGGCAGAGCCAAGGAACTAGAGGCACTGAAGTGAAGTACAGGTATGAGAGTATGCTGACCCTGGAGTAAGACAAGCTTCATCCTACTGTGACCTTGAACAATTTGCTTAGCTTCTCAGAGTCTCAGTTTTCCCATCTGTAAAATGGATCCTTGAGTTCTCAGCTATTCCTTGACATCTTCATCCTCTTCTTGGCCAGCTTTCTCCCAGGAGGCCACACTGGTCAGCTTTCAAAGCCACCTATGTGCTGATGACTCCAGCATGTCTTCAATCTGGCTCTCTCCTCTGAGTGAACTCCCCATTTGGACATTTGTCTGTGCCTCCAGTTAGCAAATGGAGCCATTGCTGATCCTTCTCGGTTCCTCGTGCCCAGTCCTCCCAGTCCTCCCAATCCTCCCAGTCCACCCAGTCCTCCCAGTCTTCCCAGTCTTGGTGCTGCCGTCTGCTCAGGCCAAATGACTAGAATTTAAGCTGGATTTGGTTTATTTTTTATTTTTATTAATTTTTATGCTATAAATGTATACTTTATTAAAATAAGTGTGATATAATAAATACTGTGCAATTACAATTATATATATTAGAACGATGTTTGGTTGGCGCCTCCAGCTTGCCCCTGCACAATCCAAAAAGCCCCATTCGCCTCTCTCTTTCTCTCTCTCTCTCTCTCTCTCTCTCTTTCTCTCTCTCTCTCTCTCCTCCCCTCTCCAAACCCCGCCCACCCAGAGAATCTCCAACCAAAGGGAAGGCACCAAAATGTCCAGTTCTGCGTTCACCATTACAGCAGCACCCTCCTCTGAAGCTGCCAACTGCCCCCGTTCCCACCTTAGCCCTGCTCAGCTCTGACCACCCTTGGCACAAACCCAGCTTGTGGCAGACACGTCATCACCCCTGTCCACAAACTATAAACTCTCCCTGCTTTAGTTTGGGGTGAGACTTCTCTGGCCTCCATCTCTGGGACCAGGGAACCAGCCCGGGAGTTGCTTTCAATAAACCTATTGTTATACGTTTTCAATTCAACTTCATCTGGCTTATTGTATTAGTGGAGAAATTATTATTGGGAGGCATAAAACCTATTATATAATATTTAATATAATTAATACGATAAATGTAATATTTATTGCTAAGCTTTTATTCACCTTGTAATTAATCTATCACTACAGCTTGTCCAGTCAACCGCCACGCTGCGTCCTCTGTGCAAACATCGTCATGGCTCCCACAGCCGAGGCTGTCATCAGCTTGCAATCCTTAGCCTGAGACACCAGCGGATCTTTTTGCCTCCGTTCTTGCTTCCTGGCTAATCCATCATTCTCACCTCTGCTGACAGTTCTTCCATGATGGGCGGAGAAGATGAGTCCATGGGTAAGACAGCGGCTGCGCAAGCATGGAGATCTGAGTTCAGAGCCCCGGCACCCATGCACGGCTGCACACAGTTGCAGAGGCTGTACCCGCGGTGCTCCCGTGAGGTGATGGGCGGCAGAGATGAGAGAACTGATTCCCTGAAGCTCATGGGCCCTCAGCAGTGGACAGCTAGAGACCCTATCTCAAACAAGGTGGAAGTCAAGGACCAAAAGGGGGTAACTTCTTACCTGTATAGATATACTGTGTACCTGCAATCATACACACACACACACAGAGAGAGAGAGAGACAGAGACAGAGACAGAGACAGAGACAGAGACAAACAAACCTCTTCTGTGCCTTCCACCATGACTCCAGGGAAACTCTCGCTCCTTTCTATACAATCCTACTTGACCTTTGGCCTTTGTTCACTCCTCCGGGCTCTCCCCGCTACCCTGGCTACCTTACCTCTTTGTCTCACAACAGAAGTATCTTTCCATGCTTCCCTCCCGGCGGGATCTCCAGAGCCTAGAACAGGGCCGGCAACGTAGCAGAAAAGTCGCAGCCTCTCAGCATCTGTTCTTTAGTCGAGTGACTGCGCCAGCTTCGTGCATCTGTTGTCTCCCCAGACCCACCAAGCTGTGGCTCCTGTCGGCAAGCCTCCTGTCCAGGCACTTGTCCCCAGCTGTGCACAGCCATAGCTCACCTTCCAGGTGCTCTCCGACAGGGACCACGGAAGCAGCGCAAGCAGCGCACGGTGGCCGTGTTCCGCGACGGGGTTCCATCTTCACAGCATGGCTGACCCCTGAGGCTGCCTTCTTCACTTACTCGGGGGTTTTCCTCATCTCCTCTGTGGAGGCGTGTCCAGAAAAGGAGTCTTATGTGTCTTGTCTTTGCTGTATTTCTTTCCTAAAACAGGGCCCGGCCTAGAATCGCTGCTCAGAAAGCATGCGGGAGCTGACTGACGGACTCTCATGGCTGTCGTGAGGAGGAAACACGTACTGGAGTGTGTCTTCAAGACACTACTCGGAAGACCGGCAGTTTATGGTGAAGCTGGACCCACACTGCCATGACAACAGCTTTCCTCCTTCGTGGGCACCAAAGAGAAATGACGGCACACTCCTGAAAGATGCCTGCCGCAAGAACGCCTACAGTGGCCTGGTGATAACCGTCAACGCCTGGAAACGGGTGAGGCCATCAGGAAGAGACCAGACATGCACACACGTGTCTTTTTCATTTGTACATCGGAAATCCACTGGCAAGGAAGAGTTTCTGTTGGTGTGCCTCCTGCACTTGTGGGGGCAGTGTGTTGATCAAAGGTCACTGCTCTCAGAAAGAGAGGACACGCTGCCTGAGTCTATTTATGTGGGATTCAGAATGGAGCAAACTGTCCTGGGTGTGCCCCATGACCCCTTCCAGAGCCATTCATGGGCCTAGGGTGATGCACACAGCTTTTTTACATAGAGTGAGACACACTGGTGTGTGGGGGGGATGGGTTTGCATTGACAAATGGTGCTGGGGTCAGCGCGGATGCCGTGGGTGGAAAGAATGTCTTAGCCCTGGTAATTTTGGAAAGCTATGTGTAAGGCTGCATTCACCAACAAAGGCTTGCAGAACAGCTGGGAAAACAGAGCGCTTTCAAAGACCACCGCGGAGGAAGCTGCGGCCCCGCGCGAGAGTTGGATCCCGAAATGGCACACACGTGGAGAGTGTGACCCCAGCAGTGACCGCTGCTCTGGCAGGTGGCTTCCTGCCCAGGCAGGGAGGGGAGGTGGTGATGGCTGGGAAGGAAAACGGTGATAAATCTTTTTGAAAGCCATAAGCCCTGGTCCTTGGGGTTGTGCTGGTTGAGGGTGTTCCTCCACCCAGTGGAAGGAGACAGTCATTGGGGGCCCTTTTCGCTGCATCTAAAATTGCGGCAAGAGCACACAGAACAGGAAGAGCACACAAAAAATACCTGTGAGGTATCTATTTAATAGACCATATATCAATCAAAACTCCAGAGGCAACATACAGAAGGACAATGCCTTCTTCCGGGTCTCTCTCCCGGAAGCAGCTCTGCAACCATTTCCTCTGTCATACATCTATCTTGTTGCAACAATGGCTTTAGCCGGTTGGAAAACACAAAGATTAAAATGAACTGCTCGATGTGTACCCAGAATTTGGTGAACCTTACAGTCAGCAAATTCAGAAAAAGGTATAATGACAGGGCCATGGGAATGGGCTATGTGCGGGGGGTAGGGGTTGGGTTGCAGATGTGCACCTGTGGGACTATTTGGCGGTGCTGTTCATTAGTCACTCACGTGGTACTTACAATGTGTGCTCTCCTCGGGTGTCCTGCCTTCAGACTGGTGGAGGAAAGAGTGGATGAGAAGTTGGAAAAGTGTTTTGTTGTTCTTCACATCTGGTTTCCAAAGGAGAGCCTGCAGATGTGTAGATGGAGGTTACTTGTGCATTTCCTGGGAGCCCAGACCCGAGTAAATCACATAGAAACTGTATTAACTACAATACTGTTTGGCCAATAGCTTAAGCATATTTCTAGCTAGTTCTTACATCTTAACCCATTTCTATTATTCTGTGTATTATCACGAGGCTCGTGGTTTACCAGCAAGGTTTGGCGGTGTCTGTCTCCTTTAGCAGCTACATGACATTTCTCTGACTCTGCTTTCTTTTCTCCTCTATTTCTGTTTGGAATTCCAGCTTGCTCTATTCTGCCCTGCTGTAGGCCCAAAGCAGCTTCTTTATTAACCAATGGTAATAAAACATATTCACAGCATACAGAGGGGAATCCCACATCACAGGTGCAAGTCAGGAGTAGATGAGGACCTCTGAGGAATGAATCCTTATGTAGTGACAGTCGTATTTGGGCGGGGGGATGATGGGTTCTCCAAGCATTTCCTCTACTCAAAGATAGCCAAGCAAAGGAGACGAGAAGAGTCAGAAGTGTGAGAAAATGGAAACCCGGATTTCTGTGTGTATTTGAAAGGCTGAGCATGCACTAAGGATGTATGCACATACTGGAGGTGACATCATTGGAAGACCATTCCTGAGTGTCAAGAGTTAACATGCAGGGTGGGTTTCTGTGAGCATGACAGGGAATCAGGATAGACATCAGAGAGGATCTGTAGCTTCATCTGGGCTGCTGAGAGACATCTCTTGGCACCATCCCGGCAGTTCGCCTCACCAACAGCAGAGGCTGAAGGACTAGAGGATAAGAGATCACATCTTAATAGATGGGGGCAGGAGGGAATGGCCAGAGCAGCAATGCTGACCGCGAGCTGCCAGCCAAGGTGAAGCGTAAATGGTCCTCTGTTATATGTATGATGCCAGCGGGGTCCTCCAGCTCTACCCTCACACTTCTGAGGGGAGCTGCCTTGTCTCCATTCAAAGTCAGGCTTCTGGCTCTCGGGGTAGGTTTGCTCCTCAGCCCCCAGAAACACTCATGGGAATAAATGCCTGTGAAGGGCCCAACAAGGCAGCACCATGGATGCCCAGGAGGCTGGAGAAGGAAGCAGAGATGAGTGATCATGAGACCCCCACTGTGGTGCTACCTGTAGGTACACAGGTCTTTCCCCATTTTGCTCGAGGCGCTATGCAGGGATGTTCTGCTTCCTGGTTCCTCTGCTCCGCTGCCTGAGGGTGTAGCTTAGAGAGAACTCTCCCTCTTCTGTTAAGGTAATTCCACCTGCAAGCAAGGTTCTGCCGCAGGCAAGGTTCCCGGGTCAGCTGCTCTCTGACCCTGAGCATGGCCACCTGGCTTCCTCTTTCTCTGATCAGCTGCTCTCCGACCTTGGGTGCAGTCGCCTGATTTTTCTCTTTCCCTGTTCCTGATGGGAGGCTGGTGTCTTTCTGCCCCACCATATATATACCCGACTTATGCTTAATAAAGTTGCCATTTGCCATCTGCTCACTTGGTGAATGAGCCGGTCTCCTGTGTCTGTGTGTTTCAACCCTTTAGGATATTAATCCGTTCTCGTGGGCTCGGTTCGGGAAAGCGCGTGCCTGTTTCGAGGTTCGGGTGTTCACAGAAAAGTGCAGGCAACAGCTACCCATGAGGTCAGACTCTAGGGGGAATCACTTGGGGGCCTGAGGTTGTGCTGGTGCCTAGGGCTCCGAAAAGTCCTGTTGAAGTGTCTGCTGGGCAGGCAGAGCCTCGCGGGAAGACCTAGGGCTCGGTCAGCCCCCGAGACTCAGCCTAGCAGCAATCCCAGTTCATGGCCCGTCCTGTGCTGCCAGCCACCAGTGACTTCCCTTGCTGTTGTTGCTTTAACTGGGTTGAATTCCTGCTATTTTCTGCCAAAAGAAATCTAACTAAGATACAAAAGCCATTCTGTCAATGTCTCTAGCGTCAGCCTCAGTGATGTTCCTGGCACGTTGGAAGTGCTCCTGGTAACTCGCTAACATTCTCATACTCGTCCTGGAGTTGGAAAACCTCTTCACAGCTCACAATGAGCCGCCAGAAGTGAGCAGCCACAGCGCACACCCCCTGAGAAGTGAGCCCCTGTCTCTTGTCTAAAAAGACAGAAAGAAATGACTCATGCTGGATTAGACTATAAATTTCTTTCTATGTAGTGAGGGAAAACGATTCGTTGGGGACAAGTGTGGCGGCTCTCACGTGTCCACAGCTCCTGTGTCTCAGAAGGAGAGCAGAGGAGGACTGCCCGAACCCAGGAATCTTAGTCCGGGATGAAGAAAAGAGCGACAGTGAACCTGACAGAAACTGTCACTGTGGGGATGCAAAGGTCTACCACCTTAGGCTGAGAACAACACCCGCCTTCCGAAGTCTGTGCCCAGGTGAAGGAGGACAGGTACCAGGACGTGGTGGTTACTGCACCTCCCACAAGCAGAAGTGAGAGTCTGGATTCTGGAGGGACAGCTCTCCAGAATGGTCCCTCAGGTCCCGTGACGGCGCGCTCAGGCTGGGTCACTGCGAAGGCAGGAAGCTGCGAGGGAGATCTCCTGTCAGGCTCTTCTCCTCTCTCGCATTGTAAGCAAGGCTTGGTTATCCAAGCGGATGGAGAACAGTCCCTGACAGGCCTCCACCACTGTGGCTAAAACAAGCACTGGGATGTTAGAAACTTTAAAAGCTTTTGCCGAAATCAAGAGTTTGGCAGGTTGGTGACCTACTTCCTCTCACCTCAACTCCTGCACTTCACCTCCTCCCAAATGTGCCATCATTTCATGGCTTCATCAAGAAATCAATCCATTGATCAGACCAGAAACCTGAGCAGCTGGTCAAAGCGCATCTGGCAGCAGGCAGCGAGCCCGTGCCCCAAGGCTCTGGAGGATGTCTCACGCTCCAAGCACAATGCTAGCATTAGCGGGCAGCGGGCAGCGAAAGGGTGACAAAGAGCAAGCTGGGGAGAAAAACGTTTATTGGGCTGATACTTCCACACTGCAGTCCATCACTGAAGCAAGAACTCTCACAGGGCAGGACCCCGGAGGCAGAAGCTGATGCAGAGGCCATGGAGAAGAGCTGCTTACTGACTTGCTCCTCATGCTTTGTTCAGGCCTGCTTTCTTATAGAACCCAGGACCACCAGCCCTGGGACGGCACCACCCACAACGGGCTGGGCTCTCCTCATCAATCACTAATTAAGACAATGCCTACAGCAGGTTCTTATGGAAGCATTTGTGGTTCCCTCCTTTTAGATAACTCCAGCTTGTTTCAAGTTGACATAAAACTAGCCAGAACAGTGGCTTTCTTCATCTCTGTGAAGCCAGTGAGGTAGAAAAGCAAGGAGTGCTTTGCCAAAACCAGCAAGGATGTCCACTGCGGGGTAAGAATGCTGTTTAGGAAACTGATGTGTCCACGGACTTGAAGGAAATTGGTACTCAACGTCCGCGATAGTGGACTCCAAGGAAAATACCACTCTGGTTTTCCACTGGCTACAGAGGAGTGCCCGTTCATTTCCATTTGAAGAGTCAACCTTTGCTCTTCAGGGAGAGAGCAGGGAAGGAAGGATGTGGGTAATTCAAATCTTAGATAATGCAAACCCCGGATTTAACCAGAGCTTTCAATTCCTCCTCCTCGACTTTGTTTTCTTTTAAGTAGAGGAATCAAATAGCCCAGCCCCGCCTGCCTGTGGGGTCTGGATCTCACATGATAAGAATTTTCTAGAAGGCAGTGGAAGCAAGAACAAAAGGCCAGGACTTATAGCCTTTCTGCTTTGAAGGGCTGCTGCTCCTGCTTGGTTTTATCTGGAGGAAGCTCAGGATCAGACCAAGCTCTGTTCAGCATCGACAACAACTCCGCAGTTGGAGACCCCAGTAGTGGCTTTGCCGTGGCTACAGGCAGAGCAGTGATGGGTGGGGACACTGGTCTCCTCATCCACTTTGTGCCTGAAGCTCCTCCTGTGTCCCTGACTAATGAGATGCAGACCTGACCAATGTACACTTGCTGCCATTTTAAATGTCCCGAAACCAACCTTTCCCAGTGACCTCATTGGTGGCCTCACACGTGACCTTGCCCCAACCTGTCACCGTCTTCAACCTTGAGCCAGGCGTACTTACTACTCTTGAAACACACTGGTGTTTTCTGCCGCTCCGTCACGGTTCCTGTCGTTCTATGAATCCCCAGCTCTCTACTTCTTCCCCTAATAAAAATGTGTGCTTTCCAGTTCAAAGCGACAGCTCGTTCCTGTGCTGACACTCCATGGCCCTGCCTTTCTGACACCGGGTTGCATTTTCTATGATATTCCTGCAGTTTGCATCCCCTATGACTTAATGTTCTCGGAAATGTGGGTCACGACCCAACCGTGAGCTTTGCGATCACTTTAATGGGTCATGACCTGAATTCTAAAAACTGAAGCGGCAGAGCAGAGAACACCGCAGGATGCATTCCTTGCACACACATCCTACACGGTACCAAGACTGAACATACTTCTTGATTTATGGTCCAAAGGCTTGAAGAGCCACTGTCACGGGCGATGATGCTTGCAGCACTTAAGGGACAGAAAGCCTTGGTCCACCTAGTTCATGTGGCAAAGAATTTATTCACTTCTATGACAGGAAGCCTTCAGACGAGGCAGCTCTGTTAGCTTTGGTCTGTGGCCTCCTGGCAGTGTCGAGGATCTAAACCTTCACCCTCTTTTTCATTTTTCTCTCCTCATTCGCAAACTGGCTGCCAGGGCACCCTCCATCACAGCAACGTTCAGAGGCGGAAAACGGAAGCTGAGATCCATTCTTTGGGTCTCTTTCTGCCAGCGTTACCCACCCCAGCTCTTTTTCCGCTGCTCTGCAAGGTGGATGATGGAAATAAAATGGCTCTCTCCAGAAGTAGCAAGGCAAACCAAAACTAGTAGGTGAAGACAATGGCGCCTCTCACAAACCCCCATCTGGTTTTATTGGACATAGGAAGGGAGGGGGGCGGGCTGGTGAAGTGGGAAAAGGCGATCCAAAGCCTGCATGAGCCACGCATAGACACCAGGTACTGCTCGAGTCCTCCGCACTCTGTGACGCTTTCTGCGTAGCCACTCTAGGCTTTCTGGCTTTCTGCGTAGCCACGCTAGCCATGTGCCTTGAATCCCGGTGATCAAGTTAAACCAATCTTT